TATAAATATTAGGAAATGAAGAATGTGAAGATAATAACAGCGTTCTAAATGATAAATGTTTTAATTGTAGATTTCAATGTCCAGCACATTGTTTAACTTGTAATATAGATACTACACTTCCTTGTTCAGATGTATGTGGAGATAGATTAGTTACTGGCCAAGAAGAATGTGAAGATGGTAATGATATATAGTTCGATGGATGCTATGATTGCAAATTTTAATGCCAAGATTCTTGTACAAAATGTTTAATGGGTATTTGTTAAGAATGTGCTGGAGGGTGGTATTGAAGATATCCAAAATCAAATTAACTTTATCAATATATAGATCCACTAACATGGAAATGTAAGGAGAAATGTGGTGATTTAATGTTGGTAGGAGAGGAATAGTGTGAAGATGCCAATTAATCAGATACTGATGGATGCAAGGAGTGTAGATATTTTTGTCGGATTGGTTGTTCATAATGCAATTATAATACAAAAATTTGTCTTGCTTGTGAATTCCCAGGATTTGTTCCAAAATAATTTTTTTGTTAAAATGATTGTGGGGATGGTTTAGTAGTAGTAGATCCTTATGGATTCTCTGCAGAAGTTTGCGATGATTTAGGTTGCAATTCTGATTGTAAATCCTGTAAATAAGGATACTTACTTATTAATAGTATTTGTGAACCTATTTGTTATGATTCCTTATTGGTTGAAAAAGAAATGTGTGAAGATAGTTTTATTTTGCCATACAGAGGATGTTAGAATTGCAAAATAAAGTGTTAATTGTCTTGTTTAGTATGTGATACAACAGGAAAAGGTTGTTTGTAATGTGATATTGGTTATGAAATCTTTGATTATATTTGTTATTCTATTTGTGGAGATAAGATTATAACTATTGATGAGGAATGTGATGATGGTAATTTAATAATTGGAGATGGATGTCATTTTTGTTAATATAGTTGTTAAGATTCATGTTTAGATTGCATTAAAGGAAAATGTTTAAATTGTTTAGATAATTATGAATTAGTTTTATCTGCTTGTTAATTGAAATGTGAAAACTAAATTGAAATTCCTTAAGAATAATGTGATTACATAATATTCAGCAATGATGGATGCTATTAATGTTTTCAATGTTCAGAAAATTGTGAGATTTGTCAAAATGGAATTTGCACTTTATGTTAAACTAATTTTGAACTTGATAATATATATAATCATTGCATTCCCATCAAAAAAACTAAATTTGATTTAGAAATAAATTGTGTATAGATGAAAGATAATCAATGTCTAACTTAAAATTAAGAATTCATAAATTTTATAACAAATCCAGATTTAGAATTTGATAGATGTCCTTAAAATTGTAAAATCTGCCAATTTAATAATTGTATGGAATGCAAATAAGGTTATTATGGATAAAAGTGTATATCTAAATGTGGAGATAATATTATTACATCTCAAGAAGAATGTGATGAAGGAAAAGGTCGTCTACTTAATCAATGTTCAAATTGTAAATTAGTATGTCCTGATTTCTGTAAACTATGCGTTTTTGGTATTTGTTAAGAATGTTAATCTGGATTTTATTTAGATATAGTGAGCAATACTTGTTATTCTATTTGTGGAGATAATATTTTAGCATTCAATGAGGTTTGTGATGATGGAAATGATATAGAGTACGATGGATGCTTCTAATGCTAATATTAATGTGAAATTGAATGTGCTGATTGTTAATTTGCATAATGTGTTCAATGTTTAGAACCATTTTTCTTAGTCTAATCCAAATTAAAATGTGAATCTCAACAATCTTGTGAAGCTTAAGATGGCTTCTATTATGAGAGTTTCTCTAATAGTTGTGTTAACTTATGCGGAGATGGTATAGTAGCTGGTAATGAAGAATGTGATGACTCTAATATGATTCCATATGATGGTTGCAATGAATGTAAATTTCAATGTAGTGAACTATGTACGCTTTGTGATAAAGGAGTTTGCCTTAATGAATCATGTCCCTTAGGGACTATCTTAATTAATAATTCTTGTTGTGGTGATTCTATATTAAATGGTGATGAAGAATGCGATGATGGAAATAATATAGATTTTGATGGATGTTCAAACTGTTAATATTAATGTAATTAATTTTGTGATGTTTGTTTGAAAGGCGTATGTGTAGAATGCATTTAAGGATTTGAATTAGATAATGAGAAATGTGTTGAAGATGAAGATTATAATAAACAAACAGAAAGTCAAAAACCTAATAACTTAAATTAGAACCAAAATGAGGTTTGCCGTCATGATGAATGTGCATTTTCTCTCAGACCTAGAATGAGATTATTATTTTTAAATTAAACTTTCTCACATTAATACGTTGAGATTAACTTTGATTAGTAAGTTCAATTTACAGAATCACCTGATGAAGAATAGTCTTAGACTTTCGAAATATTAATTTAAGATTTAAAAGAATAATATTATAATATACAGCTTTATACAATCGTAGGTATCACTTTAGATTTATAAGTTGTATAATATATTATTGATATAGAAATATTTTAGGAACTTTAAGAGAAACCTAATTTATAAGTTTTTTTGATTTAGAATGTTGTTAATTCCAATAATCAAACTATTATTTAACCATAGCAATCTATACTCCTCAACTCTCCGAGAATTATGAGTGAAGAATTAAAATCGAAAGTGATTGCTATGAGTCAAACAAACAAAGCATTTATGATCTCTGCAATTTCTATTTCTGTTGTCTCATTGATTTTTGGTGAAGCATCCTTATTTATTGAAACTTTGAGCACACTTTAGTACCAGTCATATCTTAAATTCATTAATCTTGATTATCCGGAAAACTTATATATTTATTTTTAAACTTCTGAAATGTTATCATTATCAAACTATTTATAGAGTTTGTAGATAGAATATGTTTTAGGCATTATTACAAAAAAAGAAGATAATTAAATAAGTACTACTGGAAAGTTTGCATTATATGATGTAGATTGCGATCTTATTTTAAATTTAATACCATAAATGTTTTAGCTTATTATACTTTTAACTATAATATATAAAAGCAAGAAAATCTATGTCATGTACTAAAATTTTTTTTCAAAATTGTTTTCAAATTATTAATTGTAAAATCCAAAGAGTGTTAATTAGAAAATGATATAATTTATTCTAAATGTTGGATAATAAATTAAGAAAATCATAAAATATAGACATTAATTTAGTTTAAGATTAATCATGCCCATTTTTTCTTTAAATGCTTGGGATATTTTATTTAAACTATTATTGCAAATTCATTTTAATAAACGATAAAACTCAAGAGAATAATTTTAATATATTTGCAGCCTATCTATATTAACATTTTATTTAACAATTATTTTGTAATCATATAGCAAAAGTATCATAAAGAATTAATTTACTGATAAAAATTCCCTTTAAATTAGATACGCAACATTAGATATTTTTAGAACATTTTTATTTCATATTGTGCTAGTTTTCTTTTAAAGTCAATCAATAATTTAGTCATTATTAATAGCAATAAATAGCATTCTTCATTGCTTTTTTATCTAAAAATATTAACAAATTAATAAATTAGATAAATTTGTTAACATATTTACAGAAGCTACTGTAGCACTTTTTAGTTTAACTACATATGTTTATTATAAAGAGAATTTATTTACCTATCAAACTATTTTAAAAGTTGGATTTTTTCATATGGGCATATTAATGTTAAGTTTAGCTTTAGTCTTTTGTAAATAAATTTTCAAAAAAATCTCAATAATTTCATCCAAAATTATTGAATATCAAAAAAATAAAAATATAAATAGACATGAAAAATTTTGTTGATTGCTGAAATTGTAATTATTAATTACATTAAATATTTTTTAAGTTTCTTTAAATATAAATAAAATACTCTAAAAAATCTAAAGTATTCAGATAAGAATAACTTGAGGCTTTCTTTTTAAAGAAGGAGATACAAATTTTAAACCGAAAATTTTTTGTTTGTTTCTTATAAATTTTTCAAAATAGTTTTAGGATAGATATGTTTTAAATAATAATTTTTTTTCAATTTTATTTTTGTTTATACGCATTATAATTTTATTGACTTTGTATCATAATCTAATACTTTTTATCTTTTCTTATATTTCAAAATTATGTTAACTTCAAAAAATTCTCATTACTCTCTTACCCTACTACTTCAATTTAATTAGTTTTGTTTATGGATATTTTTAATTATTAGAACTTCCATATTTAAAGCCAATATCAGTAATTATTTATTAAAATATGAGGAGATAAATATATTTATTTGATCTTCCCTCAAATATATTAATATATATTGGTGAAAAAGTAATAATTATTTTTACGAATGCATTTAAATTGAATATATATCAGTGAAAATTGGTAAATTATTTTCACCGAAAAATGCTTCTCAATATTTATTGGTGAAAATAATTATTCCTATATATATTAATATATTTCAGAGAAGATTAGAGAAATATATTTTATCTCCTCATANTGTTGTCTCATTGATTTTTGGTGAAGCATCCTTATTTATTGAAACTTTGAGCACACTTTAGTACCAGTCATATCTTAAATTCATTAATCTTGATTATCCGGAAAACTTATATATTTATTTTTAAACTTCTGAAATGTTATCATTATCAAACTATTTATAGAGTTTGTAGATAGAATATGTTTTAGGCATTATTACAAAAAAAGAAGATAATTAAATAAGTACTACTGGAAAGTTTGCATTATATGATGTAGATTGCGATCTTATTTTAAATTTAATACCATAAATGTTTTAGCTTATTATACTTTTAACTATAATATATAAAAGCAAGAAAATCTATGTCATGTACTAAAATTTTTTTTCAAAATTGTTTTCAAATTATTAATTGTAAAATCCAAAGAGTGTTAATTAGAAAATGATATAATTTATTCTAAATGTTGGATAATAAATTAAGAAAATCATAAAATATAGACATTAATTTAGTTTAAGATTAATCATGCCCATTTTTTCTTTAAATGCTTGGGATATTTTATTTAAACTATTATTGCAAATTCATTTTAATAAACGATAAAACTCAAGAGAATAATTTTAATATATTTGCAGCCTATCTATATTAACATTTTATTTAACAATTATTTTGTAATCATATAGCAAAAGTATCATAAAGAATTAATTTACTGATAAAAATTCCCTTTAAATTAGATACGCAACATTAGATATTTTTAGAACATTTTTATTTCATATTGTGCTAGTTTTCTTTTAAAGTCAATCAATAATTTAGTCATTATTAATAGCAATAAATAGCATTCTTCATTGCTTTTTTATCTAAAAATATTAACAAATTAATAAATTAGATAAATTTGTTAACATATTTACAGAAGCTACTGTAGCACTTTTTAGTTTAACTACATATGTTTATTATAAAGAGAATTTATTTACCTATCAAACTATTTTAAAAGTTGGATTTTTTCATATGGGCATATTAATGTTAAGTTTAGCTTTAGTCTTTTGTAAATAAATTTTCAAAAAAATCTCAATAATTTCATCCAAAATTATTGAATATCAAAAAAATAAAAATATAAATAGACATGAAAAATTTTGTTGATTGCTGAAATTGTAATTATTAATTACATTAAATATTTTTTAAGTTTCTTTAAATATAAATAAAATACTCTAAAAAATCTAAAGTATTCAGATAAGAATAACTTGAGGCTTTCTTTTTAAAGAAGGAGATACAAATTTTAAACCGAAAATTTTTTGTTTGTTTCTTATAAATTTTTCAAAATAGTTTTAGGATAGATATGTTTTAAATAATAATTTTTTTTCAATTTTATTTTTGTTTATACGCATTATAATTTTATTGACTTTGTATCATAATCTAATACTTTTTATCTTTTCTTATATTTCAAAATTATGTTAACTTCAAAAAATTCTCATTACTCTCTTACCCTACTACTTCAATTTAATTAGTTTTGTTTATGGATATTTTTAATTATTAGAACTTCCATATTTAAAGCCAATATCAGTAATTATTTATTAAAATATGAGGAGATAAATATATTTATTTGATCTTCCCTCAAATATATTAATATATATTGGTGAAAAAGTAATAATTATTTTTACGAATGCATTTAAATTGAATATATATCAGTGAAAATTGGTAAATTATTTTCACCGAAAAATGCTTCTCAATATTTATTGGTGAAAATAATTATTCCTATATATATTAATATATTTCAGAGAAGATTAGAGAAATATATTTTATCTCCTCATATTTTAATACATAATTACTGATATTTGAAGATACTTTATTTTTTTTCTATGCTCTACTATAGTTTTAAAAATTTGTCTTTGATCCAAAGATTCTCAAAAAATATAAACATACTTGAAATTATCAAATTAAAATTTTTTTTTCATTTTTCGATATTAACTCTATAGATTTGTATTTTTGAAAAATTTCTTTATTTATGCATTTAATTTTTTTTTATATTCTTTTTCTATATTCACAAATTAGATCTCCAATTCTAATTTTAATTTACTTGTTTAATTTTGATTTCTAATGAATCCAATCTTTTATAATCAGATATTATTAAAATTTTATATTCAAAAAGTAATTATTTAACAATCTATAATAAATGTTATTCGAATCATCAAAATAACTGAATTATGTACATTAATTGAAAAACATCATCTTTATTATTTCTAAATGGGTTAATATTAAAAGAATTTTAATAAAAAGAAATTAAAAACATTTATTATAGTAAATTTAGATAATTCTAATTGAATTATATTTTAAATATCATGAATATTAATTAATTATAAAGCAAATTTAGAGTATTGTAGGGAAATTATATTCACAATATCATGAAACTATATTTAAATTTATTCATTTTATAAATTAAAGTAAAATAAGAAAATTTTATCTAAATTATATTTATAAATTTGATTTAAATTAGTTATAATTAAGTAAATCCAAATAGAAGTTTATTAAAATTAGATTATTATAAGCTTTTAAGTTAAAACTGTAATAGAAGTATAATTTTCAATTATTATAAACAACTAATTAATACAAAATTAAAAATGAATAAATATAAAGTTAGTTATGATATTCAAAATCCAAAACCCTTCCTACATTAAACAAAAGTACACATTTTGAAAAAAATTTTTAATTTACTTTTAATTTGAATGCTTTATTTTTGCTTTGAAATTTTCATTTGATTTAATATATTTGGGATTACAATCAATTGATTTTTATTGATAAAAATGAGCTTGATTTAGAGAAAGGTAATTTAAAAAAAAAAAAAAAATCCCATTAAATGCTGACTCTTCGATTAAATTTGTTCTTACATTGTTATTTTCATAATTTTTCTAATTTAGGTATGCTAAAATATGCTGATATTTTTTGAGTTAAAATATTGTTTCATGAATTATTTCAAAGTTCTGACCGATACATTTTTGAAAAAATAAAAATTATATACATTAATTAATTCTAAAGCAAGAAGACTGATAATCGTAGACCTTCTTACAACCAATCCAAACCTTACTTATACTATACAAATCAATTAATTATAAGAAGACCATAATTGTTTTGGTGAGTATTTAAATTATGGTAATATAATAATTTTGAAGTATTCAAGTAGAAGCTCTCCATCCAAATGATGTGCATTCTTTATGTTAAAGGCTTATTGAAAACAGATACTATTGGGAAAAAATTGATATAAATTCTAAAAACTAAAATTTAAAATCGGTAGTCTAAAGCATTAAGGTAGAATATGTAAATAAAAACTAAATAAATTCTATTTATGTATGGGATAATTATCAGGAAATTAGAAATTCTTGTTAAAAGAAATAACCAATTTAATGAATTTTCTACAATGTGATATCTCAACAGTCAAATTATAATAAATATCAATCAATGATAATCACTTCCACAATAGGTTTGGAAAATAATAAAGTCATCATTTTTGAATTCCTTACTTTTGGTCATATAAAATTTTTCATAACAAATAAAACATTATATAGATAATATATTTATGAAATTTAGTTTGAAAATTTAACTATTCACAAATGCATTTTAATTTAATCTTTTAATTTTATTTTCTAAATACTATTCTCATAAATGTAACCTTTTTTTTATTTTTTTAATCATTTTTATCATAATTTTATTCCTTTACATTTTAATTTAGTTTGATAACTCATAGAGTAGATTAATTAAAAAATCATTCCAATCTATTAATGATCATTTAGTAACAATGTTACATTTAATTACTAAAATATTGTAGGTATATTTGTAGAAGTAAAAACAATTTAATTTATAGATCAAAATCATATTTGAAAATGTTAATATTATTTGATATGGATTGCCAGCCTTAATTCTTAAGATTTTGGTTTTTTAATTCGAAAATGGACTATAAACATAGTTATCTAATATATTAAAGTCCAAAGTTACCGAAAAAAGAATCCTATTAATTAATCTCTTTGTCAACCTATGAAAATTTGAAAAATTATAGAATAAGAAAGTTGTCAAAAATAAAATGGTCATTATTGATTAATTTTGTTTTTAATTTAAGGAAGAATTACTATAAGGCAATTCTGATATAAAATGAATTATAATGGCTATAATTGTAGATCATGGAAAAAATAATTGGATCTCAATAATTTCAATATTTTGAATCAAGAATAAATACATAATAATTTGTTTTATAATTGATATTGGGTGTATATATTAACAACCTATCATATTTAATTTAATATTATTGAATCTGTGAATCTCAAAGTTTCAGTCTCTAAAGCTCTAGGACTTATTTATTGTGAGGCTCCTCTAAATAATAATATATTCTTAAGAAGTTTCTTTCTCTTTACGGATGTGTGAGAAAATAAATATTATTTCAACTTCTTAAAATTCTAATTGATTTGTAATTGCTTTTTCTCATATAAGATCAATTTTCTTTCAATAAATTTAGTCAAATAATTATTTGGAAGGCAACACTTAATAATAAGATGAATAGAAGTTAATAAATTTATTTTATAAATTTTATAATATGCTAATAAGATATTCTTTATAAAGGGATAGCATAACTTCATCCAAAGAATAATAATGAAGAATTAAAGCATTACTGACCAATTAAAGTTATTTTGTTATTCGCTTGCATATTTTCCTATTGCTATAAATATGGATATTGAACAAATCTAAGAAGTTTATAAATCTAGATTATTGAACTTTAGAATTATGTATGGCTGAAATTTCAAAGCGAATGCCTGATAAAGTAAAAGACATAAACCTAATAAAGATCCTTTTAAATAGATATTCGTTTCGAAGTATATTATGATAAAAATCATAATAATTTTTTACCAAATTTTGATAAATTCCCAATAATAATTCTCTTATTTGTATTCATTAAAAACATAGCATATGTGTTTTCTTAATTTGATTTCATCTAACTTATTTTTCAGTATAAATAATAATATGAAAAATAGAAAAGGAACTAAAAAACAAATAATGATGTATCCTGGAATAACAAATGACATAATCCATTATTAATGGGTATAAGTATCATACTCTAATGATACATCACCTTAAAT